GAGGATTTTTGTTTTCTTTATGTTGAGGTGTAATCCATACTGAAGGCTGTGGTCTTTGATCTTCATCAGTAAGTGCTTCAAGTCCTGTTCACTTTCAGCAAACAAGGTTGTGTCATCTGCATATTGCAGATTGTTAATGAGTCTTCCTCCAGTCCTGATGCCGTGTTCTTCTCCGTATAGTCCAGCTTCTCAGATTATTTGCTCAGCATACAGATTGAATAAGTATGGAGAAAGGATACAACCCTGACACACACCTTTCCTGATTGAAATCATGCAGTGTCCCCTTGTTCTGTTTGAACAACTGCCTCTTGGTCTGTGTACATGTTCTGCATGAGCACAATCAAGTGGTCTGGAATTCCCATTCTTTGCAGCGTTTTCCATAATTTGTTATGATCCACATAGTCAAATGCCTTTGCATAGTCAATAAAACACAGGTAGACATCTTTCTGCTATTCTCTACTTTCAGCCAAGATTTATCTGATATCAGCAGTGATGTCTCTCCTTCCACATCCTCTTCTGAATCCGGCTTGGACTTCTGGCAATTCCCTGTCGGATATACTGCTGCAACTGGTTTTGAATGGCCTTCAGCAAAATTTTACTTACCGGTGATATTAATGATATTGTTAGATAATTTCCACATTCTGTTGGATCACCTTTCTTTGGAATGGTCACAGATATGGATCTTTTCCGGTCAGTTGGCCAGGTAGCTGTCCTTCAGATTTCTTGGTGTAGACGAGTGAGCACTTTCAGTGCTGCATTCTGTTGTTGAAACATCTCAGTTGGTATTCCATCAGTTCCTGAGCCTTGTTTTTTGCCAATGCCTTCAGTGCAGCTTGGACTTCTGTCTTTAATACCATCGGTTCTTGATCATGTGGTATCTCCTGAAATGGTTGAGCGTAGACCAATTCTTTTTGCTACAGTGACTCTGTATTCTATCCATCTTATTTTGATGCTTCCTGACTCGTTCAATATTTTGCCCATAGAATCCTTCAGTATTGCACTGAAGGATTGAATTTTTTCTTCAATTCTTTCAGCTTGAGAAATGCCGAGTGTGTTCTTCCTTTTTGGTTTTCTAACTCCAGGTCTTTGCACATTTCATTATAACACTTTACTTTGTCTTCTCGAGTCACGCTTTGAAATATTCTGTTCAGCTCTTTTACTTCATCATTTTTTCCATTCACTTTAGCTGCTTGACCTTCAAGATCAAGTGTCATAGTCTCTTCTGACATCCATTTTGGTATTTTCTTTCTTCTCCGTCTTTTTAATAACCTTTTGCTTTCTTCACGTGTGATGTCCTTGATGACATTTCATAACTCGTCTGTTCTTTGGTCATTAGTGTTCAATGTGTCAAATCTGTTCTTGAGATGGTCTGTAAATTCAGGTGAGTTATACTTAAGATCGTCCATTGGCTCTGCTGGACTTTAAATTTTCTTCATTTAACTTGAACTTGCATATGAGCAGTTGATGGTGAGTTCTGCAGTTGGCCCCTGGCCTTGTACTGAGTGATGATATTGAGCTCTCCATTGTCTCTTTCCATTGATATAGTCAATTTGAATCCTGTGTATTCCATCTGGCGAGGTCCATGTGTATAGTCACTGTTTATGTTGTTGAAAAAAGGTATGAGTAGGTTGTTGGTTTTGTAAAATTTTATCATTTGATCTCCAGCGTTGTTTCTGTCACCAAAGCCATGTTTTCCAGCTACTGATTATTCTTCTTGATTGCATGTTTGAACAATTTGAGACTGCAGAAGTTGGTAAAAACATTCAATTTCTTCATCTTTGGCATTAGTGGTTGGTGTGTAAATTTGAATAACAGTCAGATTAACTGGTCTTCCTTGTAGGCGTATGGATATTATCTTATCACAAACAGTGTTGTACTTCAGGGTAGATCTTGAAATGTTCTTTTTGACAATGGATGCGACGCCATTCCTTTTCAATTTGCCATTCGCGGTGTAGTAAACCCGTTGCCATCCAGTCGATTCCAACTCATAGCAACCCTATAGGACAGAGTAGAACTACCCCATAGAGTTTCCAAGGAGGGTCTGGTGGATTGGAACTGCTGACCTTTTGGTTAGCAGCCATTGCGCTTAACCACTACTCCACCAGGGTTCTTCCCCCCACCTCCGGTGTAGACCATATGATTATCTGATTCAAAATGGCCAATATCAGTCCATTTCAGCTCACTAATGCCTAGGATATCAATCTTCAAGTGTTTCATTTCACTTTTGATGACTTCTAATATTCCTAAGTCATACCTCATACATTCCAGGTTCTGATTATTAATGGATGTTTGCAGCTGTTTCTTCTCATTTTGAGTCATGCCGCATCAGCAAATGAAGGTCCCAAAAGCTTGACTCCATCTGCATCATTAAGGTCAACTCTATGTTAAGGAGGCTTCTCTTCCCCAGTTGTATTTTGAGTGTCTTCCAACTTAAGGGGCTCCTCTTCCGGCACTATATCAGACAGTGTTCCGCTGCTATTCATAAGGTTTTCCCTGGCCAGTTTTTTAAGAAGTAGATCGCCAGGTCCTCTTCCTAGTCTCTTTTAGTCTGGAAGCTCCGCTGAAACCTGTTCACCGTGGATGACCCTGCTAGTATATGAAATACTGGTGGCATAGTTTCCAGGATTACAGCAATGCAGAAGCCACAGTATAACAAACTGACAGACGAGTGGTGGTTATATAGTTATTGGAACTAGTATATTAAACATTTATTTTTCTTTTGCAATTCCAGCTCTTACAACCTGTTATCGGTGTAATTGCCATTTGTTGTTAGTTGCTATTGAGTTGACTCAGACTCACGGATACCTTAGTATAACAGAAGGAAATGTTGCCCAATCCTGTGCCATCTTCTTGATCGTTGGTATGTTTGAGACCATTCTTGTGGCTATTGTGTCATTCCATCTCATTGAGGGTTTCCCTTGTTTTTGCTGACTTTTATAGCAAACGTGATCTTTTCTAGCAATTATCTTTCCTGATAATGTGTCCAAAGTAAGCAAGCCCAAGAACTTACAGTAAATATATATGTTTAGTTCTTCCACCATGTAGACATGGTATCTCTGTGATTTTTCCTTCAAATATCCTGTTGTAGTTACTAACAAAGTCACTGTTTTTTGAATTTTGCAACTAGGGCATTTTAAAGATGACTGACAAAAATTTGGAAATAACTTCACAGCAGCGGAAACTTCCTGATTGGATGTCTGTGCAGAATAAGAGGAGTGCTGTGGAAGAAAGAAAGGTATGTTGTTTATCGATTATTCTTTCAGCTGGGAAATTTAATTTTAATTTGACTGTATAAGAAGTCAAGCTTCTCCTGTAAAGTTTAGGTTATTATTAAGGTCAGAGTTGCTATTGTGTGAATGAACCAGAATCTAGTCATTGAATGAGTATTGATTATACCAATTTTTTTTGTCCTGACACAGTCTATATATTTATATTTTAGTAAGTAATGACCTTTGTTAGTTTAGTAAATGGTAGATCTACATGATAATTTGTAGTAAGTGATTTGAATTTCAGTTTTTTCATCGTAATATTGGAGGGATTCGATCAAGTCACTAAGTCAAAGTGTGTTCCATATGATATTAATAGGTATTATGGACTAAAATGATTCCTGTTTGTTAGATAAAGTTAACTGTGTTAAACAAAGTTAAGGAAGTTTCTTTAATATAGAAAATCTGTAGTGTCTCTAACATACTAATATGAAGTGAGAATCTTCCATAGGGACTATAATTTCCCAAATTGAACTGAATGTGCAACCCTCTTTTCTCAGAGCATCCTCTTGTTGGTGTTCAGTTTCATAGAATGCACACTGAGAAATTCGGGCTGTATGGTCTGTAAGGTTCTTTCTAGGATTAACAATTCTATGTTGTAACTAATTCCCCCAAGTCGTTTAATTTGTCCCTTTCTTCTAGGCAGCATTGGATAGTTTTAATACAATGTTGGACTAAATGACTTGTGAAGGGTCACTTAAGATTTTTAGGCCTGGAAAAGATGTACTTTGTAGGTGAAAACAATTTACATGCTGAATTAAATGAGGTATTAATACACTTGAAGGAGGCCTGATGGCACGGTAGTTAAGAGCTCGGCTGCTAACCAAAAGGTTGGCAGTTTGAATCCACTGCTGCTCCTTGAAAACCCTATGGGGCAATTCTACTCTGTCCTATAGGGTCGCTATGAGTCGGAATCGACTCAGTGGGAACGGGTTTTATATACTTGAAAACAAAACATACCCTATAGATCTATGAGAAATGAGGGTTGACTTCTCTTTTTTGGCTGGTAAGATTTTATATTTATTCTTAGACATATGTGTGGCCAACGTCCTGCTTAGTTGCTCTGTGTTGTGAAGTTTATTGTAGTGACCCTAAAAATGTCATGTATATTTAACAACCTTTATAGAAGTTCCATTTTTTTTCCCTAGTTTTCCTCTTCCTTTTTATGGGTTAGAAGAAACACCCGTTTAAGGATTCCTTTATGGAATAAATTTTAGTTGAGTTTCTAAAATGAGAATTCTTACTGTAAGCCTTCCCTTTCTATCTAGTTTGCAAGATTGATCTCACTAGTTTCTTCTAATTCAAGTAATAATTTAGACAGTGTTTTAGTCGTGTGAATTTTTATGGTTAAGCCAGTTTAAGTCCTCATACATTTAAGATCCACCAACCAGTCTTTGAGACTGTAAGGCAATATTACATCTAGAATACTAATATAATTTTCATTATAAGAAAACAACTCAGTAAAATAAATGCTTTTATAAAAATAAAATTAGAAGTTTGAAACTAAACTTGTTAGAAAAGATAATTTTATAATGGGATAATTTTATCTGTTACATTGTCTTTATGAATTCACTAGTTTATAAAGCATTAATTGGTAAAATTTCGAACTGTAATTTGAATGCCTCAGTGTATGTTTTAATGTGAACTTTATTTGTGCCTTTTCTGAATTTTATTTAACTTAAGTCATCTATTCAGAAGAGCGTTTTTGAAGATGAACTCCCCTTCCTAGAATTCACTGGGTCTATTGTGTACAGCTATGAAGCTAGTGATTGCTCTTTCCTATCAGAAGATATTCGGTAAGAGATTTGAATTACCTAGTCTTACTTAAATTTGCACCCTTAAAAGATAGTAACTATTATAGTAATTAGTTTTTGTAAGTATACTGAGTTTTACAGTCGAGGTGTAGTCAATAGATAATTACTATTTCTATATGTAGAATGTCCATGAGAACTTCTCATTCTGCTTTTTAAATAAAAACAAAATCACTGAATTAAATTTGTAAGGTACCTGCTTGTTCACTCATAAGCCATTATATTACTTTAGCTATTTTTTTTTATTACTTTCAATATGATGTTATATATAGAACTACTGAACAGTTAGTTTGTTTCACCAACTTAGGAAATAAAGCAAAACTTATTCATCCTCTAAATGCACCAAGCCCTGGTGGCACAGTAGTTAAGTGTTTGGCTGTTAACTGAAGGGTCAGTGGTTCGAACCCACCAGCCACTCTGTGAAAGAAAGACCTGGTGATCTGCTTCTGTAAAGTTTACAGCCTTGGAAACTCTGTGGGGCAGTTCTCCTCTGTCCTTAGGGTCACTATGAGTCAAGAATCGACTTGATGGCAATGGATTTGGTTTTTTGGTTGTAGTGGCTATGAGAAGTCCCTAGATGGTGCACATATTTAAGTGCTCAGTTACTAGCCGAAAGGTTGGTGGTTTGAACCCACCTGGAAGCACCTGGGAAGATAGGCATGTGATCTGCTTCCAGAAGGTCACCGCCTTGAAAACCCTACGGAGCAGTTGCATTTTGCACGCATTAAGTCTCCATGAGTTGGAATTGACTTGACAGCAACTAACAACAACAGTGGCTAATGATGTTGAGCATCTTTTCATGTGTTTGTTGGTCATTTGTATATATTCTTTGGTGAAATGTCTTTTCAAGTCTGTTGCCCATTCTTTATATATATAATTTATTTTATTTTGTTGTTGAGGATATACACAGCATATATTCACCAGTTCAACAATTCCTACAAATATAATTCAGTGACATTGATTCCATTCTTCAAGTTGTGCAACCATTCTTACCCTCCTTTTCCATGTTGTTCCTCCTCCATTAACATGAACTCAGTGCCTCCTTAGTTTCCTATCTGATCTTTTGAGTTTCTGTTGTCAATTTGATCCCATATAGATAGTTCTTGAAAGAGCATAAAGAGGCAGACCTTTTTTTACTAGTTAAACTAAACTATTGTTTGTTTTTAAGATGACTTTAGGGGATATTTTTGGTTTAAGGTTTAACGATTATCTCAGGGCAATAGTTTCAGGGGTTCATCCACTCTCCATGGCTCCAAAAAGTCTAGAGTCTATGAGAATTTGAAATTTTGTTTTGCATTTTCCCCCTTTTGATCAGGATTTGTCTATGGGATCTTTGATCAAAATATTCAGTAATGGTAGCCAGGTACCATATAGTTTTTCTGGTCTCATGACAAAGGAGGCAGTTGTTCATGGAGGCAATTAGCCATACATTCGATATCCTCCTCCTATTCCTGACCTGATTACATTCTTCAACTTGTGCAACCATTTTCACCCTCCTTTTCCAGATTGTTCCCCATTAACATAAACTCACTGCCCCATAAATTTCCTATCTAATCTTTTGAGGTGCTGTTGTCAGTTTGATCCCATATAGATATTAAAAGAGCACAATGTTAAAGGCAAACATTCTTTACTAATTAAGCTAAACTATTGTTCAGAAGTTTAAAATTTCAATGTAATTAATTGAGGCTATTTTTCTTCCTTTAGCATGAGTCTATCTGATGGAGATGTGATAGGATTTGACATGGAATGGCCACCAGTGTACAGTAATGTGAAACTAGGCAGAGTTGCTCTAATTCAGTTATGTGTGTCGGAGAGCAAGTGTTACTTGTTCCATGTTTCTTCTATGTCAGGTTGGTATCTCTTTTCTTTGTTTTATTTTTACAGGAATGATAATTTTATTATGTCAACTTTTCCCCTAGAATATAAAGCTTTTTCAATTGCTGACACCTCTCTCATCACCTGTATTTATTTAGGTATTTGTATTCCATTTGGTGCACTCACATCTCCTGTTATATTTAACTTTTACAACATTCCTGTCAGGAATGTGAGATTGGTATTCATGTTTTAGAGCGGAGAGAACTAAAGTTTAGAGGGGCTAAATGACCTGGAATATATTGCTAGTATTAGTGCATGTGTCATTCATACTAGTTGTTTTTTCTTGTCATTTATCCATTAAGACATTTTGCTTCAGGTTAGAAAAGAAATACTCGAGATGAATGTGTTTCTTTATGTAAATTTAACACAAACACAAATTTAAATATAAACTTTTAATGTGTAAGAAGTAGAGAATCAATCCGTTGTAGGTGATCGAACCTTGGAATAACAATAAAATGTTATAGTTTTCCCGCAGGGATTAAAAATGTTACTTGAAAATGAAGCAATTAAAAAGGCAGGTGTAGGAATTGAAGGTGATCAGTGGAAACTTCTACGTGACTTTGACATCAAATTGAAGAGTTTTGTCGAACTGACAAATGTTGCCAATGAAAAGGTGGTATACATATTTTTTTCATATATAATTTTATGTTTCACAGAATGTCCCTTCTATCTGAATGTTAGATTTTGAAAAAATAAACTATATTATGGTTTTGTAACACAAAAGAAGTTCCAAATGAGTGTTCCATAATGAAAATCTTTAGTTTTAATCTATTGTTTTGGCATACAATTTAAATACTACTGTCCCCCCATTTCTTGGTACTGTTTTACTTTGTTTCATGTATTTGCATATTTTAAATATTTCAAATTCATCTTTATAATCCATTTGTATCAGTAATAACTTCTTAATTTTTTATTTTTATTTTCATTTTATTTTTAGAGAGATCATAATATAGCTCTTGTGATATAATCTTAGCAGAAGTTTGACCGTCAATTCCATCACTCGTATTCCACTTATCTTATTAATGTAACTGTTAAATTAAATCCCCATATTTAGCCAAGTATTCATTTGGCTGGGAGGTAGAAAGCCTATTAACTATTTAATTTTTTCCATGAACAACACTTTTATAGTCCAAGAATTTTAATACTTACATTGGAGGAATTCCAGAATTAAATTCTTAACAATGTGGACTGTAAATGAGGTTTTTAGTAACAGTGAATGTATTGAGGAATATGTCTGGGTTAAATTTTGGTATAGCATTTCCAATTTTATTTGTGGCATGGTCATTTATTGGTATTTAGGAACGTCTGAAAATAGGAGAAAGTAATTTCTGCCATGTCGATTTCTTTTCATTCTTCTAGCTGAAATGTATGGAGACCTGGAGCCTGAATGGTCTGGTTAAACACCTCTTAAGTAAGCAGCTTTTGAAAGACAAGTCTATCCGCTGTAGCAATTGGAATAATTTTCCTCTCACTGAGGACCAGAAGCTGTACGCAGCCACTGATGCTTATGTATGTACTTAAAGATCTTTACTCTGTGATGTATTTTTAAAACATTATTGTAAATTCTTTAAGAAGAATTTTGTTGTGTTAGTGGCACAAATAAACTAAATATTTTAAATCAACTAAAATATTTTAAATTAGTTTGGCATTAAAAATGCTTCAGAAGACATTTAGTGACCCTGTGAATATTCAGTATTAATTAGCAAGTACCAGTCAACAGATTATTCAATGCTAGTTATTTTCATCTTCATGAAGCCAAAATAATATCCAATTTTGTATGTAAGAAATGTTAACTCCATGAAAACATGAAAGACTAATAATAATTGTCCGTGCTGAGCAAGCACAAATGGCATTAATGATGTATTTGATTTGTAAGCAACTTAAGAATAACAATAATTACATGACAGTTTCTATATTGAAACTAGCCTTATTTCCCATATTTATATTTAAACTATGGTGAAAATTTAGAAAAATTGCCTCCATATTTAGCTTGCCACTGCTGTTAGTCAGATGCATTTTCATATTTAACATATGTGTACAAGCTGAAATTTGTGTTTATCTTTATATATAGCACTATTGGGTATTTTTTCATTAAGAAATATATTTTATGCCCCAGTGGGTTTCTTTTCCCCTAATTCATAAATTTATTTGTGGATGACTGTCTTGTTTCACATTTTGTATATAATTTTAGAAATGGAAACCCCTTTGGCTTGCTACTTGATAAAAATGATTTTTGTCAGGGAAATAGGGTGATCATTTTCCTTTATGTTCTGTTTTAAAAATCACAATACTTACTAATAACTAATGTGGGTCCTGTAGCATTTTTCTTAACAAAAAATCAATATGAGTTGATTGCTCCTGTTAACAGTACCCAGGAGAACCACTATTCATATACCAACTAACATTCTCAGCTGATTTAATCAAGTAGGGTAGGTGGGTACCTGTAGTCAAAACAGATTTCTTTTACTTGATGGTATCTTGTTACCCTTTGCTGTCAAGTTGATTCTGACTCACAATGACCCTGTAGGATGCACTAGAACTGCCTATAGGGTTTCCAAGCATGGAGCTCTGGTGGTGCAGTCGTTAAGAGCTCGACTGCTAACTGAAAGGTCAGCTGTTTGAACCTACAGGCTGCTCCGTGGAAGAAAGCTGTGGCAGTCTGCTTCCATAAAGATTACAGCCTTGGAAACCCTATGAGGCAGTTTCTGCTCTGCCCTGTAGGGTCACTGTGAATCAGAATCAACTTGACAGCAACAGGTTTGGGTTTTTTGGTTTAATCTTTATGGCAGCAGACTGCCACTCGTTAGAGTCCATTTATAAGTTATTGATTTGAATGCTTGCTTTATAATATTGGGTGTTAAAAAGTGAAAATTTAGACTTTTACTTTAAGGCTTAGCAACTTACTTTCTCAATTCCCATAATTGGTGTGGTGATTAAATGAAGATATATAGAATCTCTGCATAATATGGTAGGTTGGATTCAGCTTTTTGCATGCCTTCAGAATCATTCTTTTGTCTTTTTCTGAAGGTGGAAAGAGAGTTTAATTTTGTCTGTCTTTAGCATTCTCCTTTCATTTTTTGTTGTATAGGCTGGTCTCATCATTTATCGAAAGTTAGAAAAATTGGGTGATGGTGTGCAAATGCTTGCTTTAAATAAAGGTAAGTTATGATGTTAAGTAAAAGATATACGGATTTCCTCTTTTGTGAGGTTTATCTCCAAAAGGAGAATAGTCACACGTGTGCAAAGCGTTTGATATTATTTTAACTTCTTGAGTGTTTGAGCAGGGTTGACATGAGGGTAGTATCCATCTGACCAAAGGTTAGGGTTTCAGGCATGTTACTCATGGCAGAGCAGGACTTGCTACCTCCACTTTGTGGCATTGCTGTTTAGTAGGCTTCTAGAGTTGGGGCTTTGTAACTTTGATAACATCATTGATGAAACTATCTCCTAGTCTGAGATTATACATCCTTGCTATAAATATTTAAAATGTATAAGATGCTTTATAGTGGACTGGTTAAATTTCTAAATTTTCTCCAGTGTAGAATAAACTCTGGTATTTGGTCTTCCCAAAAGACGACCACTTCATTCAGCTTCAGTGCCTTTCCCAGATACCTCAATAGGTCAGTGATCATAGAAACACCCATGTAGTGGGGGGAAGAGCACTTGCTTTGGAGTCACATAGACCAAAGGGGACATCTCAGTCATGTGACCTGGGATTTACCTGTTTACTCATGTTTGGAATGTGGATAATAACATGACGTCTTTTTCACAGAATAATTGTGAGCGTTAGAAGGGACAGAATACTCGAAGCACTTATATTGGTCTGTACGGTTGTTGCTATTACTGTTCTTGTTATAGCTTCCTTTTGGACATTCTAGATAATCGTGTTTGAAAATATATTAATTAAATCAGGCGTTTTTGCTAAATAAACTTAAAAATATGGCATGACCTCCTCATACAATATTCTTTATAATTGTCTTTGCTGTAAATAGGAGTAGACAAGTGGGTAGCCCAGTGTAAGAAATGAGATAATTATAATATGTCTGTATGCTCATAGGAATGATCCAATAGAAAAAGGAAATGTTGTAATACAGGAGAGAAAAAAAGATAATTTGCAGGAGTAAGTCCTTAGGTAGGGGAGAGTCGTTGGGATCCAGTGTACAAAAGTAAGGGGTTGGTCTTAGGTAGATACAGGGACAGTTCATCCTTTGCAACGTGGGAGTGCAGAATATATTTGTCCAGACTAATAAGTAGGTTATGGGTGAGAAGTTGAGATAGTTCTCTTCTTTTTGTTACTGTTAGTGAAATAAGAAGTGAAGTTGATCCCTGAAAAAAAAGGAGGGACAAGTAAGTGTTGGAGGCTTGAAGAAAAAGGAGAAGGTGTGAAATAGTCATCTCGAGCATGGGAAAGTGGGATATGTGAAGAGTGAAGAATTAACAGTCAGTACTGAGGGTCCATTTGTGACCTGTGTCATGAGTTTAAAGTGAGATGAATCTTTCTTGTTTTCAACTATATTCAGATACTTGAGTATAGGCATCAAGTAGACAAAAGAGCTGGATTTTAATTAGGATAGGGGTTTTGAAAGGTAAGTACCATGGAGGGAGGGAGGATCAAAGGAGTTTATAGTATATAGAAAGAAATATGGGTAAGAGAAGAAAGTAAGACATGATAGGAAGTGTGAATGGGAAAGTTAATGGGTAAGGATAAAGTGGTGTGGTCAATGGATTTGGTTTGGAAAGTGTCGAAGAACTGTTGTATTAGGGAACGCATGCTGGAGAGAAAGATAGCATGCTGGTGCTCAGAGGGTGCAATGTTTACAATCGATGTTTGGAGGTGGTGACCTTATTGTTAATTGTAAGGTCAAGGGTATGACCATGGGAATGGGTGGCTGAGGTCAATTGAAGAAAAGATTGTTGGAAATGGAGTGGCCAGGAAACTGAAAGACCATACTTTTGATGGATCATCTGTGTAGGTATTGAAATCACAGGAATGATCACAGAAGTAGTGATGGAGGGAATGACAGTGAGTGAACCAGGTGCTAAAATCTTCAGTGAGTGAGGGGATGTGATTTTGAGATCACAAGATAACATAACAATGAGGAGTACCCAACCGAACCGAACCCATTGCTGTTGAGTTGATTCGGACTCATAGTGACCCTATAGGACAGAGTAGAACTGCCCAGTAGGGTTTCCAAGGAGCTGTTGGTGGATTTGAACTGCCAACCTTTTGGTTAGCAGCCATAGCTCTTAACTGCTGCGCCACCGATGAAGAGTAGCAGGTGGTATAGTCCTGTGCTTCAGAGGCGCTGGGGTTTCTGAAGGATAAGAGAAGTGCTAATGAAGTGTGAGAACTTCCAGGCAGGCTGAAAGTCTGGGAAAGGAGGAGAGGCTTTGTGGTGTTGATGGAGAATGGTGTACCAGACCAAATGGAGTTGAGAGTTTAGAGGATGATCACTGATCAGGAAGGCTTGCATTTTATTTTGGTGCTGACTGGTATAAGTAGGAAAACTGAGGAAATGCTGTAGGTAAGAATATGTTTACCAAACTATATTTATTCAGTACTAGCCCACTTGGTGTTATTGATTTCTGATTTTGAAATAGCAAAGATGGGTTTAGTGTCTGATTTCTACCTTCTTCTGCCTAGGTCAATAGTCATGAAGTTGTAATATATATGAATGCAGATCCTTTGTAATTTATTCTAAAATTTTAACAGCCACATTTTGAAAGAGAAATAAAGTGATTCAGGTGATTTTGAGATAGGAAACGGAAATCTTTCTGTTGGAATTTACATAAAGAAATAAGATGAAAATTTGAGCCCTAATACTGTTTAATGAAATGGCTAAATAAATATCTCTGCTTTTTGGTTTAAAATTAATACTGATTTATTTTTTCCCCTAGAGGAGAAAATACTACCCAGTGTTGTGAAAAAACAGTTGACTTCAATCTCTGAAGAGATGCTGGATCTGGCTGAGCATCTTCCTGACACTTTCAGAAAATTTGAAAATCCACAGAGGTTAAAATAGTATCTGTTTTTGTTAATTCTGTTTGTTTTTATTGCATTTTTCTATATGTGAAGTATTGATATTCATTAAGGTAAACTCATGCAAATTTGCTTGAATACACACACACACACACACACACACACACACACACACGCAGGCTGCTTTATTCATGAGAAATATCTTTCAGTTGTGAAATAGTACATCAAAAGGTTCAAAGTTTTTTCCTTTGCTTTTTAGGATGTTTTATTAAACAGAAATAATATTAACTACATTTATATTGTATTTTCTTGTCAAAAGAAAATAAAATTCTTAAATACATACCAAGGAAGGTGTTTAACATTCAAACCTGTCATTTTCTTTCTGTTTATAGACGTCTTTTATTTAATTACATTTACAGTTTACTCAAAGGAAGTCTATAAATAAAAGCAGATTTTATTCTTAGCTTGATTTTTCTGGTTCTTATCTGAGTAAGAATTCTACCTGATTAGTAGACTATTCGAACAAAAGGCATTCAGATTTTAAAGATCATTTTATAGCTAAAGCATTATATTGTTTGAGATATTTGAGTAAAATGTTCTATACAGATTAATAAACTTTGGATTATAGGAGCTGCATAGCTAACTCTTTTTGGGTCTAGGCTTTGCCCTGGCCTTAATTGCTGAATAGCTTCCCTGCTAAATCTCTAAAGGTGGGAATACTCTTGAACAATGAATGCTTACCATGTGGTAATAAAATTTTGAGACAAAAAATAGTCAGTAGAAATGTGAAGCAGTTGGTTGGAATTGAAAGAATTCTGCCTCTGACCAAATGTAATGTTAACGTATTCTTTTTAGATTGAATTTGTGATAGATTTTGATTGATAGATTTAAAAATAAGATGTAGGAATTCAACTTTTTTTCAGCCTTTTTTTCCCCTAGCAATGTGTTTTGGTAGTTTTTACGTAACTGAGAATTTCTGAAAGATGTAAATTTAAAATGGGAGGGAGGGTACCAAAAAGACCATTTCTTAACAGTTTTTTCCCACCATGAAAGAAGAAAAATCACCTTTTGGGTGATTTTTACATGTATTTTAGATTTTTGTCTAGCAATTAAAATACCTATTGGATGTAGATTGCATATACTTAATGCTTTGCTTTGTAATATCAAAGATAAATAAGTTTTCTTAAAACTTGAGAATGGGAAATACTAGATTTAATTCAGTAAAAATGGATCTTGTAAAGTTTCAGTATCGAAGCAAGAACTAATTCAATCTATTTCATGTTCTTTGTAATGAATTTACAATAGCGCCTAGCTTATCTAGTTACACCTGAGAGCCAGGAGGGAACAAAAAAGGCTTCTGAGCAGTCAAAATACATGCCATAATCAGTGTATTCAAGCTCACTTACTGTAATTCCCAGAGGCATCCATGAGTCCATATTCAAAGCACATTTGCTTTTTTTTTTATAGATATGGTTTAACAAGTTTAGATATCTAGTTTCTAGTGTTCAAAGTGGACTAAAATTGAAAAGTAGATATGAATGAAAAATGGTGTGCACATAACAACAGCAGGAAGCGAAAATTGGCAATCTGTGAAAGAGTGGACAAAACTAAAAAGTAGAAACAAGATCTCTAAAGTATAGCAATTTTAGGTTTGTTACAGAAGAGAACAGTTTTATGCTTCGGGGGCCCTGAAGGTATTGGTATTATCTTATGCTTAGTTGTTGTTAGCTTGCATTGAGTCGATTCCGACTCGTGGAGACCCCATGTGTGTCAGAGTAGAACTGCTCCGTATGGTTTTCAAGGCTGTGACCTTTTGGAAGCAGATCGCCAGGCCTCTCTTTTGAGGTGCCTCTGGGTGAATTCAAACCGCCAACCTTTCAGCTAGTAGTCGACCACTTGACTGTTTGCGCCACCCAGGGACTCAGTGTTGCTTAGTAATGGATTTAATTTCAATCCATATCTATCGTACTTCTCTTATGCACTTGACGTTCTTCTGGTGCTGAGGCTGTCTGTCTGCAGTCTGCTAACTGGCATAATATCAGTCCTTACGAAGAAGGAGAAGTACACTGCCTTATTGAAGAAGTCAGGACAGCCTTTGGTATTTGTTAGAGTAAATATTAGTTTTCTTACATGAAATATATCATTCTCTGATGCTAGTGCAGGATAAATGAGACCTTACAGTCTTTGTCAGTTGATCTGTGCCGTTATTGCCATGTTTATATGGTTACAGCATTTCCTCTGCATTTAACAAACGATGTCACATATCTGTTCCTACTAAAGTATTTTTTTATAAACAGTCCCTATATTTGAATTGTCATGTTTAATGCTAAATATTCTTCATAAGATTTGAAGAATTTACAGTATAATGAGTTTTATTTTCCAAATTTAATTTTGCTTTTGATTTTGTTTGTGTTGATGTAGACTTTGTCAGCTTAAGCTTGACCCCAACTTTGGGGTGCTGGTAATGGTACTAATTCCAGTGAGTAGATAAGTCACGAAATAACTCAGCACTTTTTTTTTTATTGTTGTAGTCTAAATGAAGTTTACATTTCACGTTAGTCTACCATACAAAATTTTATACATACATTGTTATGTGACCCTAATTGCTCACGCCATTCTGTGACAGCACACTCCTCCTTTCTGTCCCTGATTCCCCATGTCCAGTCAACTAGCTCCTAACCCTCTCTGCCTTCCCATCTCACCTCTGGACAGAAGCTGCCCCTTTGGTCTCTTGTATCTACTTGAGCTAAGAGGCACACTCTTCACGATAACTCAGCACTTTGGATAGTTATTCCCATGAAAGATCAAATCTTTATTTGAGTCATCAGTATAAAACTTTAAAAGGCATGCCAGATTTTATTAAGTATTGATTTTAAATACAGAAAAATTATAAGAGCTAAACCAAAGTGCTAATTAGTTAATGGAGCAAAGAGGCATATTTGCTCATTATACTCCCTCTACTCCCTCTAAATTATGCTTTTATGAAGTACTTAAATGTTGCTTTAGGAAGCCTCACAACCAAGAGACAAGATAGTGTGTATAGTTTTAAATTCTAACAGTGCTTTTTCCATTTCAATAGCTAGGTTTGGCAATATATTATAGCTATTTTAAAGTCACTTACTAAAAATGTTACATATTAGTAACTACAATTAAGGAGTTAAGAAATTCAGTTCATATTTATTCATACGCATCTTCTCCATATTTTCTCACTTGTTATAGTTGTCTACTGATGTGAAATTTTTTCTGTTCCAAAGAATATGTGTCCAGTTTTGAAATTTTTAGAGATGTGAAACAATATCATTTTAGAATCACAGCATAAGCACTGCTACCTGTTGCAGTTGTACCAGTAATTGATCAGTGATTTGAAAAAGCTAGATTCCTTACGGAATCACAAAAATATTCTTTTAACATATTAATGCACATTTGGTTACAATCTTTGATATATGTCAAGGCTTTTTCATTAAATAGTCCTGCGGTTTGGAGTTCTGCAGAGTGTTCCTTGTTTAAACTACACTCATAATGCATCATCTGTAACTTCCAGTTTCAGTCTTTTTTAAGTAGAGTGAAAACTTAAAGAGACTTTAGGCAATTTGAGTGCAGAGTCCTAGAGATTTTTATGATTTTCCTTCAAACTTTTATAGTTATTATGACCCTAGTTAATCAAACTAATTAAAAATCAAAAAAGAAATTTGCTAAGCCTTTCCACTTAGTATTCAATGAAATAGTTTCGATTTTTGAGGTTGTGTACCATTGGTTTACTTTACATTTAATTAGATGAATTACTGTAGAAGGCATAACTATCATAACAAGTTTCGGAGTGCTAGGGTATGAAGAACAGCTTACATCCAGGGGGTTAAGTGACGGTCACTGAAGAGACTTCTACTCTTAGCAGTTGCTGTTGAATTATTTACAACTCATGTTGACCCTATACGTGTTAGAGTGGAACTATGCTCCAGAAGGTTTTCAATGGCTGATTTTTCAGAAATAGATCACTAGGATTTCCCTCTGAGGTGCCTCTGGGTGGACTCAAACAGACAACCTTTTGGTTAGCAGCCAAGTGTGTTAAGTATTTGTACCACTCATGAACTCCAAAACTTGTGCTTATAGCTAATGCAATTAGAGTTGAATTAACTTTTTTTATTTTATTTTATAGGATTTCTATACTATTAAAGGATATTTCAGAAAATCTGTATTCACTGAGGAAGATGATATTTGGTTCTACCAACACTGAGACAGAACTGAGGCCCAGCAGTGATTTTAACTTGTCACTGGAAGATCCAACTGCTGGTGTAAAAGAACAGAAGGAAACTAGAGAACACAAAATTTTTGCTAAAGTTAAAGATCAGACATGGGACATACCACTTGATAATTTAATTAAACATGATGGAGAAAATATACTTGAAAATGAAGTGAAACAACAAGATGTGTTTGAAGATGGAATAGAAAACAATAAATCGAAAGAAGATTCGGAAAGAATTTGTTTGATGTCATTAGATATTACAGAAAGTGAACTCCAGTTCTTGGAACAGCAGGCTCAGGAAGAAAATCTTTGTGATGTTACTTACACATCTTCTGAGGTACTAAATAAAGAGAAAACAATTTTTTATTCACTAGACTAGGGATTGGCAGTTTTTTTTGTAAAGGGACCAATAGTAAATATTTTAAGCCTTGTGGGCCATATAGTCTCTTCTGCAACTACTCAGCTCTGCCATTGTAGTGTAGAAATGGCCGTAAACAAATGTAAATGGATGAGTGTGTCTGTTTTCCTATAAAACTTTATTTACAAAACCAGGTGGTGGGCCATATTTGGCCTGCAGGCCTTAGTTTGCCACTCCTGACTTATGACATGAGCTGCATGGTAGAGTGGAAAGATTTTATCATGTCAGTAGACATTTGTTATGATTTTCTTTTTTGTTTTTTAGCATTTCTCATGTTTTTGGCATAATATATATCTCTGCTTTTTGTGTGTTTGCTGCATCTACTAGTGTTTACTCTTCCAAACTTGATTTTTGGGGGTAGTTTTTATTTCCTTATACAGAATTTCTTTACTTGCTGTCTTGAGAGGGCTTCTAATTAACTTCTGATATTTTTCTGGATACTAATCTTTACTGTCATCTGGAGAGTCTATAACCTATGCATTTTTTTTTTCTTAACAGATTATTAGTAAAGAATTTATATTTTACCTCAACTGAATGGCTAGGTTTCTGATTATGTTCTACTTAAATTAATTTGATTTTTTGAGACTGTTTTGCACCTTTTAAGTTAACTTTATATTTTGAAATAGTAGCCTCATAATAGAGGAATCAGTTTCTTTTATCAAAAAGAGAGATCATAAAGCAGTACAGTTTTACCTCACTTGTTTTCCATTAGTTTTTAAAAATCAAGATGTCCTTATTCTCTAGAATTTTATACATTTTTGCAAAAAGTAAATTTTTTATAAACTAGATTTCAGTCTTTTAATAGGGTTATTTTCCCTTCAGTTTTCTAATGACAACAAAAGTCTCAGTATTTTGAGAAATTCTCTTTGTTTTTGGTAACTGTATTAGTAATCACTTCTATTATTATGTAAATGAATTCTATTTAAAAATTAAAAAAGAACTATTCTCATGCCAATCGTATGTAAAATAGGTTCATCCTTTGGGAAATACTATCTTTTGCTAATATCTGCATTACCCTTTAATTTCCTAGAAGTTTACTTTTAAGTACATGTTTCAAAATGATGTTTCTATCAAGGCTTCAAACCTCTTTGAAGTGGTTCTGTCATAACCTACAAAGCAAAACCGAAACAGACCTGAATTTTTACAATTTGGGTGATTCGGTATGGTACCCAGAATGGGAAATATTACTGGGTCAAAGCCCTGGAATGAGAAACTCGGAAGAGGCATACTGAGCCCTTTCAGGAGCCTAATGCATGAGATTGGATTATTGGCAGGACTGTGGAGAGTGACACACATTCAGAGTGGCATGTTCAGCTACTATCTTTGAGTGGGGTGCTGCCATCTTTGAGCAGGGCGCCGCTGTGTTTGAGCAGGGCAACACTGTTTCTGACTCTGCTTGAAATCCTACTTGCCAGAGATTTGGTTGCTATGCAACATGTACGCTGCCCTTGTTTTCTAATAGAGAGATTAAGTTTCTAGCAGGGTGTCTTAGTCATCTAGTGCTGCTCCAACAGAAATACCACAGATGGATGGTTTTAACAAAGACAAATTTATTTTCTTCACAGTCCACTAGGCTACAAGTCCAAATTCAGGGCATCAGCTCCAGGAAAAGGCTTTCTCTGTGTCGGCTCTGGAGGAAGGTCCACGTCATCAGTCTTTCCTTGGTCTGGGGGCTTTTCTGTCCAGGAATCTCAAATCCAAAGGATACACTCGGCTTTTGGCACTGCTTTCTTGGTGGTATAAGGTTCCCGTGTGTCCCTGCTTGATTCTCTCTTTATATCTCAAAAGAGATTGGATTAAGACACTGTCTAATCTTGTAAACCTCATCAGTATAACTTCATCACAGTGATAGAATTTACAACACGTGAGGAGATCGCATATAACCTCATCATAGTGATAGAGTTTACAACATGTAGGAAATCACATCAGATTACACAGTCATACAATATTGGTAATCATGACCCAGCCAAGTTGACAGGTATTTTGGGGGGACACAATTCAGTCCATGACACAGGGCTTCGACTCGTAATTTTTCCTGTTCTGGTTTCATTCTGGTTCACCCAAATTTTAAAATTTCAGATCTGTTCCATGACGGTGCCTCATTCATGACTGAACCGGGAAGAACTGATTCAAAGCCCTGGTTTCTATAATGTTATAAAATTAATGATCAGGATTTCACGATCTGACTGTGATATCTGTCACCCCAGTGTTTGCCATTTTAAAATAATTATTAGTTGAGGTGAAATTCACCTAATTTGCCATTAACCATTTTAAAATGTTTAATTCAGTGGCATTTAGTATATTCACAGTGTACTGCCACTGCCATCTCTCTCTAGTTTCAAAACTTTGTCGTCACCTCAGAAGAACACCCTGTACCCTTTAAGGTACCCTTTAAGTAAACACTCCCCATACCCATCTCCTACCGTCCTCTGGCAACCACTAATCTGCTCTCTGTCTCTATGAATTTGCTATTCTGGATTTTTCATATAAAAGGAATCATACACTATGAAACCTTTTGAATTTTGCTTCTTTCACGTAGTATATTTTCCAGGTTCATCCAAGCTGTAGCTTTATTTCTTTTTATGGCTGTACTTTATTTCTTTTTATGGCTGAATAATACTCCATGTATGTATATACCACATTTTGTGTATCCATTCATCTGTTGAGGCACATTTGGGTTGTTTTCATGTTTTAGCTATTATGAATAATGCTCCTATCAACATTTGTGTACAATTTTTAGTGGGGATATATGTTTCTATTTCTCTTGAGTGTATACCTAGGAGTGGAATTTCTAGATCATATGATTCTATGTTTAACTTTTTGAGGAATTGCCAAACTATTTTCCTGTCATTTTTTATTGTGTGATAATTATTATCATTACTTCCTTTGTTCATTAAAGACCCCATTTAAAAATTAAAAGTAATTTTTCTGTCCTAGTATAAACTTGGAAACCCTGATGGTGTAGTGGTTAAGAGCTATGGCTGCTAACCAAAAGGTTGGCAGTTCGAATCCACCAGGAGCTCCTTCAAAACCCTATGGGGGCAGTTCTGCTCTGTCCTGTAGGGTCTCTATGAGTCGGAATCGACTCGACAGCAATGGGTTTGGTTTTTTTGGTTAGTATAAACTTATTTTAAAATATATATATTTTTTAACTTAATTTTTGAAGGTTAATTGAGACTATACTTCCTTTCCCTACTTCCATTTTAATAGTAGGCATTTTTGTTAGGGTTTTTCTTTTATATTTCTTTTGTGAGTTTCTTCTGGGTAGATTCCCATCCTGTTGGACACTTGATTGCTGGGCACTGCCAAATTATTGTCAATGTTCCTCAAATTCAAACATTGGCAATAAACTGAATAAATAACATATTTGACACTTTTTAAATATACGTAGATGCTCTTTGTAAAATACTGATTTATTTAAAGGCATTACAATCATAGTAGCTTTTTGAAATCTTTTTTTATCAGTAGATAAAAAAAAAAACCTACTGTTCCTTGTTTTGACGTTGAAATTTTTCGGCATGTACTCAAAAAGTTTGGGAAAACTGGTTTGACATTGTTTAACCGTAGTTGGATTTGTCACTTTGTTTCTCATTTGGAGTGTGGAATTTTATTTCAAGTCTGTTTATCTAGTTTGTCTGCCTCTGCCTGCTGGTCTACCTGTGTACCTGTCTACCTGTCTACATCATTTATCTATCACGTAAACATATAAATATACATTATACATTTCTTTGTTAGAGAGGGGAAAGTTGTCTAAATATATCTAGGAACTTTATTTTGTAGAAAAGTGTATGGAGTCTGTTATACTGAAAATTAATGTTTGAATCATTTTTTTGTTAAAGCATTTATCTTCCAAAGATAATGAAGAGGATAGATCTTATATAATTGAAAGTGACGAAGATTTAGAACTGGAGATGCTGAAGGTATGTTTATTTTTTAATTTTTTTAAATTGTACTTTAGATGAAGGTTTACAAAGCAAACTAGTTTCTCATTAAACAATTAATACATATATTGTTTTGCGACTTTGGTTGCCACCCTCACAAGTCAACACTCTCCCCTTCTCAACCTTAGGTTTCCCATTACCAGCTTTCCTGTCCCCTCCTACCTTCTCATCCTTGCCCCTGGCCTGGTGTGCCCTGTTTAGTCTCGTTTTCCTTTATGGGCCTGTCTAATCTTTGGCTGAAGGGTGAACCTCAGGAGTGACTTCCTTACTGAGCTAAAACTCTCGGGGTTTCTTCTGCCTCTGTCAGGCCAGTAAATCTGGTCTTTTTTGTGTGACTTAGAATTTTGTTCTACATTTTTCTCCAGCTCTGTCTGGAACCCTCTATGGTGATCTCTGTCAGAGCAGTCGGTGGTATATTTAAAATTATGAGAAAGTTACTTCATGTTCTTTCCAAATGATATTTAAGTAAAATACTGCCTACTTCTAAACCAGGTCCCAGCACAATGAGGTTGCTACCAATTACGTAACGTTAGATTTCATGTTTTCTAATCCATATTTCTTTATACTTTATTAAAAAAAACCAAACCAAGCCCATTGCTGTTGAGTCAGTTCCAACTCATAGTCAGGACAGGGTAGAACTGCCCCCTAGGGTTTCTAAGGAGCGACTGATGGATTCAGACTGCCAACCTTTTGGTTAGCAGCTGAGCTCTTAACCACTGTGCCATATCTTTATATGATGTATAAACAATATGTTAGAAGTAGTATACTAATTTATTTGTATGTTGTCTGTGTTCCCTCTTATGCCACTTTCTTTTAAGCTTTTCTTGGAATGTGGATAATGATTAAGCTCTCCAGTACTGAAATAGTTTTCTTTCTTCCCATCCCTGTGTATTCCCTTTTTATTTGCAAGTTCTGTTTTTGTAGATTCAATATTCTTCTTTACTTTTTTTTGTCTTATTTGCTATGGATATTTTATATTTATTTCATGTAATTTTCTAGAGTTATAAATGGTTCAGTTTTACCCTTTTATTATCAAAATTGAAAGTAGTATTTTATAACATATATTTTTCAACACTTCCCCTAACCTCCAGCTTCTTTGAACAATAAGAAAGAAAAGCCAGTTTGACCAAATTAAAGGAAAAAAATGAAGAAAAACACAGACACTCACCATTGTGCATATTTTTTATTCTTCATCTTTATTTAGGTTGATGTGATTTTTCTTTTCTATGAAATGAGATTAACTTTCTGATTCTTTAGTTTTGGGACAGAGTGGTGGGTGGTGATAAGAATGTGGACTCTTAATTCAGATGTGAGTTTGAATCCCAGCTTTTCAATTTATTGTCTGTATGACTTTGGGTAAATTTCTTAGTCTCTTTGATACTCAGCTAATAGTTTTAATTATTATATAAGGTATTGCTTGTGAAGAGCTTAGTGCAGAACCTGTCATTTAGTAAGTGTTTAATAAGTATTAGCTAATGATAATATGTAATAAATATTAGCTAATAATAACCATAGAACATAGACAAAATCATGTTCCTTTATTGATTAACTGTTTCACTGAGGAGTGGTTTCAAGCAGTGCATTTCTAGGATACTTGTGGACTTTTACAAACATATATATTGAACCTCTTAGGAGGCAACCTGGGTGCCCGTGTCAGAGAACTTTATTTTTTAATTGCTTTTCTAAGTATGTTTGTGAACTTGAATCAAAAAACAGAAACAGAGTTCCCCCCGCCCCTCCTTTGTTTTCTTTTCCTGGCATGAAATGATTACCTTTTTTTTTTTTTTTTAAATTAACCTTTAAAACAAATTCATTAAGTGGAAACTTTAATAAAAAGGGAAAATGAGAACTGTAGTTTAATAACTTCTGTCACTTCTCAGTAATAGAATTTACAACTGAAACAATTTTAAAATATTCTATCATGCTTGGAATAGATGCTCTTCATTTAGCTGAGGAAATCAAATATTGTCAAGCCAAAATAAAAACAAATAACTTTATTCCACAGTTGTAATATTCTTTTCCTAAAATTTTTTGGAAGTTTTTTGTTTGTTTGACAATTTCAAAGCACACTCACAGATGGCGTATAGTTTAAACCTTGTCCTTACTCAAAAGGAATGTGACTGATAGGCAGTATAGAGAAACTTATTACAAAAATAGCATTGAAACACCCATTACAGCTTGCAAATTGAAAATACTTTAATAAATAAAAATGTTTTAAATTATATAAATAAAAAATTTATGATAGCTTTCCCCAGGGGCAGTTCATTATATGCTATTAGTGAACTCTGTTTATGCTAGAAGTATCCATCTTTGGCCTGGTGCCTTAGAAACTATTCTTGAGCGCATATATAACATGGAGCACACGTGTTCTTTTGTGGTATTGCTTGCACGTCTGCTGGCTTTGAACAAAATTGTAGGCTCTGTTAATACTCCTTTTTTGTTTGGTGGAAAAGATACAACAATGTCAGTGGTTTTGCTTTTAAAATTTCTTTTAAACTTTCAGTCTTTAGAAAACCTAAATAATGACACAGTGGATCCAATTCATTCTAAATGCTTAGAAATGGAAGGAAATCTGGGTCTTCCTACTGATGAAGATGAAAATGAAGATATTGAAGAGGAGGAAGAAGATGAGGAGGGTAAGTACTGCAGTATGTTTGAAATGACTCACCTCTAATACCTACTGCTGACTTTATTTAGGGTCCAGTTTTTAAATATTTCAGAGGTCAAAGACTTTGTGGGATATAATTAATTACTTAGGGCGTAAAAATTGGCCTTTAAATCCCTCAGTTCTTTGATCTCCGTAAAGCACAATTTTACTGTTTATGAAAATAGGGTAATAGAAATATCGTATTATTTGGCGAATGAGGTGATGTGAAAGTTTTCATCCTGAATTTTATATTTTGTTTGTGTCTTAATGAAAGTCCTAAAAAAATCATTTATTAATTGCTGCATTAAGTGTCACTGTAAATGATATAGATGACATGGTATCTGCCCTTCAGGAGCTTACAATTTAAAACAAGTAATACAATATCCTTGTGGGTGGACTTATTTTCAGACTGTGTACGGTAGCAACAGCAAAGAATCTACTAAATGAACCACCTATTATTTAACTGTAAATAATAGCATTCATTATGGCAAGTTGTGAGGTCTCACAAAGCAGAACTGCCACTAGAGCTAGATTTCATCAATGATACAATGTGGAAATTTCTAAAACATTTTGTAGATGAAAAGTATATACGAATATGTTGAAAAAATGTTTTTCCCTTTGTATTAAATATAGACAGAATTTCTTCAAATCAATTTAATTTTATAGTTAGAATTATTAAAGCTGAGAAGTGTAATGAACTTTTATTTATTTAATAATATATTGTCTGGATTCTTTGCTTTGCCCGTTCTTGGCTACTCATGAACCTTCCACCTAAGAGTGGACAGTAAAATCAGTTGGTTAAAACTAACGTAATTCCATTGTGCTATGTAGTTAGCCAGTGAAATAACACTTTTCTCCCCTCTAATCTAGTGGAGCCCTGGTGGTGCGGTGGTTAAGAGATTGGCTGCTAACCAAAAGGTCAGCAGTTTGAATCCACCAGCTGCTCCTTGGAAACCCTATGGGGCAGTTCTACTCTGTCCTATGAGTTGGAGTCCACTTGATGGCAATGGGTTTGTTTTTTGTTTAATCTAGTGTACTTCTTAAACCTAAACACCTATTTTGTTTTATTTTAAGACCACTCGGTACCAGAACCCAATGCAAAACAAGTTATTTGTCTTAAGACCTACTTTGGCCATTCCAGTTTTAAGCCGTGAGTATAATCTTTGTTAATTAAATTACATATTTACTATTTTCTTCACAAAAGGCAAGGAATTCGTCCATTTACGAGTAACAGTGCAGCTTCACTATAGTTTATCCATGCTATATTGTATTTCCTATAAGTGACTGCAAAGTTATTTTGAAGTAATTTTATATAAAATTCATTTCTGTGAATTGTTTTTATAAGTGAGAGAAAATGGTTTTCCTTTAGTTTATAGGTGTTCTGTGTAGACACTAGTTTAAATACATTAATAAGTGAATTTTAATTAATGCTGACTTGTTATTTATTAAATAAGTGTCTTCTGCATTGTATTGCCCAAAGTATGCTGATGTAATAGAAGGTCATCAGATAACAGTTTTAAGAACGGTGATAATCTTATCTGTTTGAACATACTCAAATGTATTTTTGTCTGAGGGGCACATTAATATTAAAATGAGATGAAAAAAGTTGAGATAAGGAATATAAGTAAGCTAATAAGAATAAAAAATTTTGACCGGATTTTTGCTATTCTAAAAATTTAAAATTTAATCCACTGAGGCATTTTTCTTTTGATCTTTAATTTTTTTTTTTAAATAAAGTGTGTCTTACAGAGAATTGCACATGAATGTAGAGATGAATGAATTTTCACAGAGCACCATGTGGAACCAGCACTTAGATTGAGAGTCGATCATTATCAGTACAGAAAAAGACCTCCTTTCCAGCTGATTTTTCCCTCAAAATTTTACTAAGAAAATTTGCAAAAATAGTAAAGTTGAAAGATTTTTTTTACTGTGAATACCTGAATACGCATCACCTAGATTCTACCGTTAATATTGTATTATCCTTGTACTATATATTATCACAAATCCATCTGTCCATTTCTCTTTCTGTTCATTAATCCATCTGATTTTTAAAATGCATTTCAAAGTAAATTACAAACATTTTTATACTTCCCACTAAGTGCTTCAGCATACAGATCATTGAGTAGAGTTCAATATTTGTAGTTTTTTCTATGTAAAATTTACATACAATGAAATGTACAAACTTTGTATATTTGCAAATCTTAAGTGTACACACAAGTGCACCCATGTAACCAAAACCCTTATCACTGTATAGAACATTACTATCACTCCAGAAAGTTCTCTCATTTCCCTTTTTAGTCAATCCTGGCCCCTGGAGCATCTCTCATTTCTTTTAAATCATTGGTACTGTTGGATACCCAGTATGAAGCTTGGATTTTATTTTATACTCTAGATATACGTAATAAAATTGAGTGAATAATGCCAAATGGAAACTCCTGGTTGTTTGGGCAGCTTGAATGTGAGGTTGATCAAATGGGGATGTTTGTTTTAAAGTTCCAGGATTTGTACGTGTTTGTACGAAACTCAAAAATGTCAAAGAAATTCTATTAGAGGAAGTGAAAAAATTAAAAGAGTTTCAACTTGTCCTTTGGTTTCTTATTAGTAAAATAAAATAGCTTTTTGCTTTTTACCCTCAAGGGTTCAATGGAAAGTGATTCATTCTGTATTGGAAGAAAGAAGAGACAATGTTGTTGTCATGGCAACTGGTGAGTTGTACTTAAGCAAATAACCTTATCCTTTAAAAAATAAAACTTGAAGGTTTTGAAATGTTTAATATTTCACTAAACTCTGAAAATACAAATACAAGTGGTATAAAACATAGAAGAGATTAAACAGAGAATGTTGTTGTTAGATGCTGTCGAGTCAGTTCCGACTCATAGCGACCCTGGGTGCAACAGAACAAAACACTGCCCAGTCCTGCACCATCCTCACAATCATTGCTGTGTTTGAGCCCATTGTTGTTTTGAGAGTAGACTCTCAAATTTATGTATGAATTAGCTCTTTGGAAGATAGCATATTAGTGAACATTCAGCCCTTACCAGCATGTTGTATGAAGGAATTATGGTGTGTAGGGTTTATTTTTATTTCTATTATTGTATTATTTTTACTTTAAGGATATGGAAAGAGTTTGTGCTTCCAGTATCCACCTGTATATGCAGGCAAGATTGGCCTTGTCATTTCTCCTCTTATTTCTTTGATGGAAGACCAAGTACGCCAGCTTGAGTAAGTAATGTTTTCATTGCTGCATTATCCTCCACTTTTTATTTCTTCCGTGAATGAAACATTTGATCTATCATATATGTTAAAATCTGCTTCCCAATGACACATTTCTGTAAGTGGTGCCTTATCTTTACTAGGAATAAATGGGCGCTTTTGTGGAAGAGCTTACCCTCTTTCATGAGTTCTCTGTAATTCAAGGCTAACAGATGACCCCCGATGAATTTTTTTATAGCTTTATTACTTTATGCCAGTTTACATTAAATACCTCAAAATTCTTTTCTCTCTACTTTACCCTTGCTCTTTAGCTTGGTATACAGGGAAGTGTATACAGGAAAGGATATTTTTTAAATGTGGAAAAAAAAAAAAACTTCAATGTGAACCTGCAGTCTTTTTGAAGGATCCACCTAAAAACCTACCTTCTAATATGGTCCTTGAAGGAAATTGTTTATTTAATTTGTGAGTTACAAAAAACAAAAAGAGAGGATTGCAAAGAAGAGGAATACACATTATTGTATTTCTTTATTTTCTTTTAAGTATGAAGTTGATATTTGCAAGGGGTAAATGGTCCCAGAATATTTGTTTTTCTTCTTACAGAATGTCCAACATTCCAGCTTGTTTCCTTGGATCAGCACAGTCAAAAAATGTTCTCAAGGATATTACATTGTGAGTAATTTATGTGATTTTTTGATCACATGCAGATATCTGTGGTATATAACAGAAGTTTGTGTGTAAAATTTTGTATACATAAATTTATTTAATGCGTAGACAAAATGTCCATGATTTAAAAATCCATCTTCATCTTATAGTACGTTTTCAGAACATTTAATTTTAAAATCTTTCAAACTAAAAAAAATCTAGTTTTCTTAGTTTTTGACCTGTAAGATTAGCATTGTGATCATAAAACTGTGAAATTTTGATATTGGAAGGAAACTTTGAGAGTGTTTCAGTTTCCTAGTGCTGTCACACACACACACACACACACACACCCACACCCACCCACCCACACACACCTACCCAGTGGGTGGCTTTAAGGAAGATAAATTTATTTTCTCACAGTTAGGACGCTAGAGGTTGAATTCAGGACGTTGGCTCTAGGGGAAGGTTGTTCTTCATCTCTTTCAGCTTCTAGCAGCTGCAGTCTTTGGTGTTTCAGGGCTTATGAATGCATCTGTCTTCTCCCTTGGTGTGTCTCTGTGTCTGTTCTGAGTGGTGTCTTATAAAAAGAGCTAGTTTGGGGCTAAACTGCCAGAAATCAGAACCTGGCTTCTGATGTCACCTTACTGCTGCATACTCCCTCATAGGCATTGTCACTTTGTATTTTGATGCAAACCAAAGAACTAATGTATGTGAATATATACACACATATATAACACAGATTTAGTTCTTAGTAAGTGACATAATGTGTTATTTAAGAATTTATCAGATATTGTGATTTTAGGTTGTAATTCACTGAGATGATTGTTTTCTTGCTTTGTTTCTAGTATGCTTTCTTTCCTGTTTCTTTTGTTTGATTGTTTTTACAGAGGCAGATACCGGCTGGTATATATAACTCCAGAATTCTGTTCTGGTAACTTGAACCTCCTCCAGCAACTGGAAGCTAATATCGGTAAGTCATAAAGTAGGATATTTATGAATATATATTGAATTATCTCTTAAAGTTTAATCTATGGATGGATACCAACACCCAAAACCAAACCCACTGCTGTCAAGTCAATTCCAGCTCATAGCGACCCTGTAGGACAGAGTAGAACTGCCCCATAGGGTTTCTAAGGAGCGGCTGGTGGATTTGAGCTGCCAACCTTTTGGCTAGCAGCTGAGCTCTTAACCTCTGCGCCACCAGGGCTCCTATGGATGGATACTAGTTTTTTTTTTTCCCCTTTCCCCCTACCTTCTTTTAATGTTTATTTTAAACATCTCCTCCAGGGTATCTTCTCTTGACTGTCTAAACTGGTGTCTCTCCTATTTTATCCAATAACATTGCCATAGAGTCGATTCTGACTCGTAACAACCCTCTAGGACAGAGTAGAACTGCCCATAGGGTTTCCAAAGCTGAAATCTTTTCAGAACCAGACTGCCACATCTTTCTCCTGGTGGTTTTGAACCACTGACCTTTCTGTTAGCAGCCAAGCTCTTAACCAGTGTGCCACCAAGGCTCCTTTGTTATCCAGTGGTACCCTGTATTTCCTTCTGCTTTATATATCTGTTTTCTCCTTCTAGACTGTAAACTTTTTGAGGGAAAAATACAATTTTTATTTATTCATATTTCCTTAGCACAGTGCTTGGCACATAATAGGCACTTGCATATATTGCTGAATGAATATTGAATCCTATAGTCTCTGAAATTATAATTTACTTTCTTTTCATGTTTTGAATATAAATTAATTAATGTAATGGTTCTCCACCCTTGTTGCTCATGAGAATCACCTTTGAAACTTTAGAAAAATCTAGGTGACTAGCCTCCAGCCTTGAAAATTCTGATTTGACAAGTGTGGGGTGGGACCCTGGCAGCTGTACATTTTACACAGGTGATTCTAATGTGTAGCCAAGGTTGGGAAGCAGAGTGCCTTTATTAGTTGCCACCACTATCATTAATTTAAAAAAATAAAAACAAATGTAAATATAGAACTGTTCAAAAGCCAATGACTTTTTTTGTACTTAAAATAAATTTAGTTTGTTTCTTCTTGGTGTTTAGACTCAGCTATCCAAGATATATGCAGTCATGGCTTCTATTGCAAATGCCCATATTTCAGACACACAATTAAACTAACCAAACTGAGTTTTCCAATGTTACATAAGCTCATTATAATTATATGTTAGAATAGTTCCAGATAGCTTAAGTTTTCAACATTGCAACATCTCTTTTAATGGTTATTTGCATATAACTCTAGAAAAGCATTTAACACATTTGTTAACTATATGTGAAAATAAAATTGTATCTTTTAGTATGTGTTAAACACTCACAAAAGAATGAGGGCAGAAATTAACATTTCAAAGTATATTATCAAAGATAATCTTACCAAAGAGTGTATTCATTAGCTCTTAAAACTCCCTTATTGGCATATTATACTTTTGCCTTTAATGAAAAATAAAAAATGATATATCTTCTGTCAGGTTGTACGAAGTTCTTGTGAGTATTTCATTTCAGATTAAGCATAAGTATTTTATTTATAAATTTCTTGGTTTTATTGCAAAAGCTAAGGTATCTATCTGTCCATAGTCTGGGCACGTTTTGTTCCATTTTAGTATTTACTTTGTTTTTGTAGGATGTTAAGTGGATAATTAGCTTAACTATTTATTTAGATCCTTTTGAGAGATAGTTATAACTCTATTTTTATTTTTTGCAATGGTTTAATTATGAACACTGAAATTATTAGAGCATAGTACTCTGTACATGATGGATGAAATATGCTCTCTTTTGTAGACTCTCAGTGTTGAATAATAGGGATAAATGAAATGAAAATTATTCTTGAAATATTTTCCTCTGGCTCTTTTTGTTTGTAGGAAATTGTAAAGTGCTTGCAAAAGTGAATATACTCAGAACGCTATTTGTATAGTAGTCTGACATTTAGCTAATCAGATTTATCATTTTTATGGTAAATGTTAAATTATTTAAGTACTCTGGGTTATAACAGAAATAGCAAACATAATTTTGTACAGGGACTCCTTAAAACTAACCACAGTTATAATTGTCTTTCAAATTTGCAAATAAGGCTTGAATGACAGGTATGCCACAATGAAATGTGTATAGGGCCTAGGCAGACACTTAGACCTTCACATTTAAAGTCAGTGTTGACAAAGCTTGCCTAAACTGACTGAGGAACATAGCTTAGCTCCAAGTTAAATGGCAGTTGGCTAAACCTGTAACTAGGCTTTTAAAATAAAGGAGAGTTTTAAACTAAAGGAGGGGCTGTTATCTTTCTTTTAACCTATTTAACTTTAAAGTCTGGATGATTTATTTTTTAAAGCCAAAATAAGTATAGTGGCAACACTGAATTTTTTCCAGCCACTCAATATTTAGTAGTTTTCTTTTTTTGTTGGCTTCTGTTGTTGTTCTCTGCTCTCTTAGGACTCTATTAAAGCTGGTAATCTCACTGAATAGTAATTATTTATTTGCATGTCTGTCTCTTCTTTTAGACTTGTGAACTCCTCAAGGTCACGGATTGTATTTATTATCTTTTTATTCCTAGAAAAGTGTCCAGGTCATAAACCAAAACCAAGCTTGTTGCCATTGAGTCAGTCTTCACTCATGGCAACCTCATGTATTACAGAAGAGAATGACTCTGCAGGGTTTTCTTGGCTATGACCTTCTTGTATGGAAGCAAATCGCCAGACCTTTTATCTGTGGTGCCATGGCGTGGGTTTGAACTGCCACTCTTTGAAGACACGTGCAAACTGTTTGTGCTACCCAGGGACCCTATCTGTACATTAAGGGAGAGATTTACTTCAAGGGGTTAATTTCATAGTGGCTATTTAGTAGCCCTAGTAATAGTAGTAGTGGGTTCTGTTGTTGTTGTTTTTGTTTTAATTGAACTCTTTTCTGAGCCAGACACTATGGTAGCATTTTATGTGAATTATCTAATTTAATCTTCAGAGTAACTAAAAACTTTTAGGCACTGTTATTATCCACATTTTACTTGTGAGAAAAGTGAGACTTAGAAAGCACAAGTAACTTGCTTAAGGTTATACAACTGTTAAGTCGTGGAGCCAGACCAGCGTCTACGCAGTCTGACTTCAGAGCACGTGTTTTTAATCACCCTACTAGTGAAAGAACATTAATAATACTTAGATAGATATCAGGTAATGACTATCCTCATTGAAGGAAAAATTATTTTTGTCTTAAGTATTAATTTGGTAATTGAAGACAAAAGCACTACTGTCGTTACTTTGAAATACCTGAATTTTAATGGATGGTTATACAACAACGCCATTTTCTGAAATGCATTACTGCACACTATTCATTTAGTTTCAGTGTATGTGTGGATTAGGGATGAAATAAAGGGGTTGGTAGGGGAAGAAAGAACAAATTTTATTTCTTTTTACCTACTTTGTACATAATGAGATTTAGTTCTTACCGTTTTACATTAGCAAATGTGGATGGCATCCTGTGTTCCATACTGGCATTTCAGAGGGGCCCTCTACAATATGATATGTGATCAGTCATGGATAGTGATGCATGCAATCTCAGTAGAAATGTGCTGATTCTCTGTCTTTTAATAGCTAATGTATGCAAGAAAATTGAAGGTATTACAAAGGAGAAATAGAACCGGTCTTTTTTTAGGGCATTATTGTTGCAGATGGTTCAGGAGTAATAGTATTGGGGACAAAGTAATAGGAAGCAATTCATTTCTCAGAGGAATAATGATGAAACCTGAAATCCAATAAACAGGTTGTTTGAATTAATATGTAAGTGCAGCATCAGGATTGGAAGAAGACTCATTAACAACCTGTGATATGCAGATGACACAACCTTGCTTGCTGCAAGTGAAGAGGACTTGAAGCTCTTACTGGTGAAGATCAAAGGTACAGTCTTCAGTATGGATTGCACCTCAACATAAAGAAAACAGAAACCTTCACAACTGGGCCAATAACAACATCATGATAAATGGAGAAAATATAGAAGTTGTTAAGGACTTCATTTTACTCAGATCCACAATCAATGCCTGTGGAAACAGCAGTCAAGAAATCAAATGCCATATTGCATTGGGCAAATCTGCCGCAAAAGACCCCCTAAAGTGTTAAAAAGCAAAGATGTCACTTTGAGGACTAAAGTATGCCTGACTCAAGCCATGGTATTTTCAGTCGCCTCATATGCATGCAAAAGCTGGATGATGAATAAAGAAGACCAGAGAGGAATTGACACCTTTGAATTGTGGTGTTGGCAGAGAATATTGAATATACCATGGACAGAAGAATGAGCATACCTGTCTTGGAAGAAGTACAGCCAGAATGCTCCTTAGAAGCAAGGATGGCAAGACTTCCTCTCACGTACTTTGGACATGTTATCAGGAGGGCCCAGTCCCTGGAGAAGGACATCATGCTTGGCAGGGTGGAGGGTCAGCGAAAAAAAGGAAGACCCTCAACAAGATGGATTGACACAGTGGCTGCAATGAGGGGCTCAAACATAGTAACGATTGTGAGGATGGCACAGGACTGGGCAGTGTTTTGTTCTGTTGTACACAGGGTTGCTATGAGTTGGAAGGGACTTGATGGCACCTAACAACAGCAACATTTCCTTTTACCTTTATGCCTTTTATCCGTTTATCTCCTCTCCTATTCCTAATAATGATTTCTGGTGTTATTTGATGTAATTTATGTTTATGTTTGTATCTGAACTAATTACTTTGATTTGAATACTTGTTCTCCTTTTTTTTGTAGTATTTATATATTCTAAGTGAAGAAATTGATATTGATTTAGATGAGTTTTTGTTTCTTTTTGAAATTTATTTTTCCCATTCGTGTGTTTTCTCTTTTATAGGTATCACACTTATTGCCGTGGATGAGGCTCACTGTGTTTCAGAGTGGGGGCATGATTTTAGAAATTCGTTTAGGGCTTTGAGTTCTCTAAAGGCAACACTCCCGATGGTAAGCTCTGCCACGTCTAATGTCTTGAAATGACATTTTTACCAAGGGGGGGAACAGATTTGGGAAATGGCCAAAAAGCTGAAGACTTCTCCATGAAAGGGCAAATGGATGATGTAAGCTGAGGAAGGAGTTTTTTCGTTTTTAATTGTAACCTTGGCATGTAATTTATTGAGGAATATTATAAAATAGGGGTCAGCAACTTTTTATGTAAAGGACCAGATAATAAACATTTTAGGCTTTACAGGCCATGTACGGTCTCTGTCAAGTGTTTTTCTTATAACCCTTTGAAAATACAAAAATCATTCTTAGCTTACGGGCTGTAACAAAGCAGGCTGTGGGCCAGATTTGGCCTTTGGGCCAGGTTGTTGACCCTTGCTATAGAACTGTGGTTAGACTCCCATACCTCCTTAGTTATTTTACTCTAGGATGCTAGAAAGCATGTATAAAAATGGCTTGAGGGTAGTGTCTGACCTCCTCCAACCCCACAACAGGGAATGAGAACCAAGATAATAGCCCAAGGCTGATTCCTATGAGGTGGAGGTCAGACACTCTCCTCTCTCCACTGCCTTTATCAGTTCTGACACCCGCCATCCCTCCCACAGCACTCTCTACTGGGTTCGATAATTCATTGCAATGGCCACACAGAAATTACAGACCATACTCATAATTATTAGGGAAGTAACAGTTACAGTTCAGGCTCAAGAACACTCAGGATACAGTTCTTACGTCGGGACAGCCTCTTCCCAGCTATGCTCGCGGGCACGCCTCTCCCTGGCCCTAGGCCTCTCCCCAAAGGCACTCAGCTTTCCCTCTCTGTGGGCCAGGAAACCCACTGCACTGTCTCCTGCTGCCAGGTCTCTCCTGCCACTGCTTCTCACTGTCTTCAGGGTTACAGCTCTCTCTCTCTCTGTCTCCTGGTCCCAGGAGCCCCCCAGCACTGGCTCCTGGCTGTTCTTCCTTGATGATGGTGGGATCTTCCTCTCTGCTCTGGAGTTGGCTCTCTTAAGGCAAAACTGACCAATCCTTTGGTAGGGCACAATTACCCTATCACACAGTCCTGCCCAGTCACCTTGGTGGGAGTTACAAGACCATGGCTAGAAAGCTATATGCAAGAGTAGCTAATTTGCTGCAGCCTGGTTACCCCTTCTTGCATCATTTTGAAAAATTGAACTATTCAGAAGAGGTTTTAGTATTAGAATTCTACCTTTTTCCCTTATTATAAAACAAAACCAGAAACCAAACCTGTTGCTGTCGAGTCGATTCTGACTCATAGTGTCCCTAATTATAAAGAGTATCATATTTTTAAATGCATGTTTTATATGAATGTCTTGAAAACTCACCATCCTGGCACCGTTTTTTGTTTGTTTTTTAACTTCTTATTTTGAAATAAGTGTATTTACTGGAAGTTGCTAAAAAAGGCACAGCTTGGTCCTATGTACCCATCACCCAGTGTCCCCAATGGTAACATCCTACATAACTATAGTACAGTATCAAAACTTGGAAAATGATATTGGTATGATCTTCACAGCTTATTAATATTTCACCAGTTTTATAAATATCCGTTTGTGTGTTTATGTATGTTTGTATTGTTCTGTACAATCTTATCACATACATAATTTGTGTAACCAACATTTCAATCAAGATATAAAACTGTTCCATTACCACAAAACTTCCTTCAGCTGTCCTTTTATAGTCCCACCCACCACCCTCTCCATCCTCATCGCTAACCCCTGTTGTTGTTAGGTGCTGTCTAGTTGGTTCTGACTCACAGCGACCCTATGTACAACAGAATGAAGCACTGCCCGGTCCTGCACGATCCTCACAATCGTTGTTACGCTTGAGCCCATTTTTGCAGTCACTGTGTTAGTCCATCTTGTCGAGCGTCTTCCTCTTTTTCAATGACCCTCACTTTACCAAGCATGATGTCCTTCTCCAGGGACTGATCCCTCCTGATAACATGTCCAAAGTATGTAAGACATAGTCTTGCCATCCTTGCCTGTAAGAGGTGTGCTGTGTGTATATATATAAAACAAGGTTGATTAACACAGTGGCTGCAACAATGGGCTCAAGCTCAGCAATGATTGTGAGGATGGCGCAGGACTGGGCAAAGTTCCGTTCTGTTGTGCATAGGGTCACTAAAAGTCAGAACCGACTCAACAACACCTAGCAACAGCAACATATATATATGTATATGTGTATACATACATACATAAGTACCTACATACATGTATATACATGTATATATAGAGAGAGAGACAGAGCGAGATTTATTTTAAGGAATTGGTTCTTGCAGTTTTGGGGACTGTCAAGTCCAGAATTCATAGATCGGGTCACAGACAGGAAACACTGGCAGTCTTATGTCCAAAATTGGTAGACAAGGGGTTGGGCTGAATATTCCAGAAGGATGTCTGTTTGCAGTCTTGAGGCAAAATCCTTTTACTCAGGAAACCTCAGTTTTTGCTCTTAAAGCCTTCAACTGATTGGATGAGGCCCACCCACATTTGGAGGGTAATCTGCTTTAGTTAAGGTCAACTGATTTACATGTTAATCACATGTAAATAACTTCATAGCAACATCCAGACTAGTGTTTGACAAAACAACTGGGTGCCATACCCAAACCCTCAATCTCGTTGCCTTTGAGTCGATTCCATCTCATAGCAACCCTATAGGACAGAGTAGAACTTCCGCATAGAGTTTCCAAGGCTGTAATCTTTATGGAAGCAGACTGCCACATTTTTCTCCTGAGGAGCCGCTGGGTGGGTTTGAACCACTGATCTTTGGATCAGCAGCTGAGTGCTTAACCACTGCGCCACCAGGGCTCCTCTGGGCACTATAGCCTAGTCAAATTAACTGTTAACAGTATACATCCAAGTTGTTGCTTGTACCAAAGGTTGATTTCTTTTTATTGCTGTGCAGTATTCAATGGTATGAATATACCACAGTTTGTTTAGCCGTTCGTCTGCTGAAGGACCTTTGAGTTGTTTCCAGTTTTGAATAAAGCTGCTGTAAACATTCATTTACTACTTAAAGGTCCTTCAGTAGGTAAACGGTTAAACAAACTGTGAACATAAGTTTTCATTTCTCTGGGATAGACGCTCAGAAGTGCAAATGTTGGGGTCTTTGGTAAGTGTGTATTAGGTTTTTAAGAAACTGCCAAATGGTTTTCCAGAAACTGTTTTACATTCCTACCAGTAATGTTTGAGTAACCCAGTTTGCTGGCATCCTTGCCAGCGTTTAGTCTTATCGCTGTTTTCTATTTTAGCTACTTTAATAGGTGTGTAGTGACCTCATTGTGTTTTTAGCTTGCATTTCCCTAATGGTTAATAATGCTGAACATCCTTTCATGTGCTTATTTGTCTCTTTGGTGAAATGCCTGTTCCTGCTTTTGTCCAGATTCTGATTGAATTATTTATTTATTTTAACTATTTAATTTTAAGAGTTTTTTTTTTTTAAAGTGTATCGTAGATATGAGTACCTGGTCAGATATATGGTTTGAAATGTTTTATTCCAGCTTGTAATTTGTTTATCATCCTCTTCCCAGCATCTTCTGCAGAGCAAACATTTTTAATTTTGATGAGGTCTAGTTTCTTAATTTTTCCTTTTGTAGATGGTGCTTGTCACCTAGTCCTAAATGTCGAATACTGTCTTCTATGTTTTTTTCTAAAAGTTTTATATTTTACGTTTAAGCCTGTGATCCATTTTGAGTTAATTTTTGTGTTAGGTGTATGGTTTAGATTGAAGTTCAATTTTTTTTTTTTTTTTTTTTTTTT